AAGGTGATGTGTGAAGGAGGGAAGCCATCATCCTGAGAGGAGGCCTGCACGCCTGGCAGAGCTTCAGTGGATGCCCGCACATCCTAGGCTGAGAACCTACGCGTGTGGGGATGTTTAGAGAGAATCTGCTGCCCTTTGGGTGTGTGGGGGGGGTCGGCTCCCAGGTGGCCCAGTGATAAAGAACCTCCCTGCCAATGAAAGAGAAGTCGGAAGACTCAGATTGGATTCCTGTGTTGGGAAGATCCCCTGGAGGAGGGCATGGCAAACCACTCCAGTATTCTTGCCTAGACAATCACATGGACAGAGGAGCCTGGTGGGCCAGGGTCTATGGGGTTGCAAGGAGTTGAATTGGACTTCGCAACTGAACAATTTCTGTATAGCAAAGTGATTCAGTTATATACATATACATGTACATTCTTTTTTTATATTCTTTTTCATATGGTTTATTATACAATATTGAATATAGTTCTCTGTGCTATACAGTAGGACCTTGTTATTTATCCATCCTCTATATAAACTCTTAAATCCCCTAACCTCCCACTCCATCCCTCTCCCAAACAGCCACTAGTCTATTCTGTTTGTCCCTGAGCATGTTTGTTTCTTAGATAGGTTCCTTTGTGTTATATTTTAGATTCCACATGTTATATCATATGGTATTTTGATTTCTCTTTCTGAATTCCATTATTATGAATAATCTGTAAGTCCATCCATGTTGCTGCAAATGACATTTTGTTCTTTTTATGGCTGAGTAGTATCCCATTGTATATATGTATCACATCTTTACCACATCTTCTTTATCCATTCATCTGTCATTGGACATTTAATTTGTTTCCATGGCTTGGCTATGGTGAATAATGTTGCAATGAACATAGGGGTGCATGTATATTTTTTAATTATCCAGTTTTTTTCTGGATATATGCCCAGGAGTGGGATTGCTGGATCATATGGTAATTCTGTTTTTAGTTTTCTAAGGAACCTCCGTACTATCTTCCACAGTGACTGCACCAACTTGCATTCCTACCAGCCGTGTAGGAGGGTTTCCTTTTCTCCACACCCTCTCTGGCATTTTTTTTGTAGACTTTCTGATGATGGCCATTCTAAGTGGTGTGAGGTGGTACCTCATTGTAGCTTTGATTTGTATTTCTTTGTTAATTAGCAGTGTTGAGCATCTTTCCATGTGCCTGCCTATTGGCCATCTGTATTTCTTTGAAGAAGTGTCTGTTTAGGTCTTCTGGAAAATGGGCCATTTTTGTAAGGGGTGCCTGGATGGGTTGGAGCTCTCTGAGATCAGGCACTGAGGAAAGAAGAATCCCAGCTAATTGGAACATTGGAATTGGAGCAGGCACAGCCTGTGCTAGATGCTGGCATGTGGGGAACAGATGAAGTTGTTCAGCAGGTACCTCTGGGCTTTTTAAAGCCCCCATGAGCACTGCACAGGCTTTGCTTTATGTACAGCTTGATGGCTAGAACTGGGCATTAGAGTGAGCTAGATTTTAAAACCGTGGGTTGCCTTTCTCCAATTGAGCAAGATTGATAGGACCTGTCAGAACTACAGGCCACTTTGTGTAAGGCTCTATTTTACTTTGCTTGTTGTGTACCTTTTTCCTGATGAGAGAAAATATTACTACAGTGTAGAACATAAGCCAGCGAGTCTACTCAGGTCAAATTCTGAGACAATTAAGTTACAAAGAGAAGAGACTAACTAATCTACTAATCCCTCTGTGACTATAAAGAGAAACCATTGTGTGATTGTCTGTTTGTAGGCAGTTTTCTCATTCCATTCAGCAAATAATACATTTCCTACCAGATTTTCCATGTATTTAATGGAGATCAAAAATTAACTTAGGTAGTAACATCTCAAGGTATTATAGGTAAAGAAAAATAATAAACACAGCAGTGTGAATGACACAATAAAATCCAGACTCTGCCCCTTTTGTGTAAGTATTTCCTCGGTCTTTGGTCCAAAACAGAATAGTTAGGTCTGGTTACTAACTGCTTCCATAGATAGAAGAAATATGTTCCCATGTTCTATGGCTATAGGCATGATAGAAACAAACTATATTTTTACATTGGGGGGGGGACCTGTTTAATAATAGATTATGAAGCAATTCAAAGACAAATTCATTTGCTAGTTATTTTGTATGTGTGGAGCATCTCTCATTTTCCACTCGCTGTCTGTTCAGTGAGGTCAGTGAGGTCCTCTCCAGCCCAAGAGGAGGTGTGGACTGAGGGTTGGAGGACACTGTCCAGCTCTCCAAACCTGGGCTTTCTCCACTGTGAACCTCTTCCCATTATTAGAACTTGATATTTAAAGTTTACTATTGGAAGAGAAGGATGCCTGTGTGTTATAACAAATGCAGGTGGTGAACAAGCTTACCAACAGCAAAAAACATTTTCCTAGGGGGCAAGTTATTTCAATAGAGCCCATGGGCAAGTGCCCAGTAAATAGGTATTGAATGAGTGCATTGATCATTTGTGTTTAACGCTGGTTTACTATGCCTATGACACTGCTGAGGATCACATTCTTCTATTAGTATTAAGATGCTTAACTTAGTCAGTTCAGTCGCTCAGTCATGTCTGACTCTTTGCGACCCCATGGACTGCAGCATGCCAGGCCTCCCTGTCTATCACTAACTCCTGGAGTTTACTCAAACTCATATCCATTGCGTTGGTCATGCCATCCAACCATCTCATCCTCTGTTGTCCCCTTCTCCTGCCTTCAATCGTTCTCAGCATCAGGGTCTTTTCCAATGAGTTGGTTCTTTGTATCAGGTGGCCAAAGTATTGGAGGTTCAGCTTCAGCCATCAGTCCTTCCAATGAATATTCAGGACTGATTTCCTTTAGGATGGACTGGTTGGATCTCCTTGCAGTCCAAGGGACTCTCAAGAGTCTTCTCCAACACCACTGTTTAAAAGCATCAGTCCGGCACTCGAGCTTTCTTTATAGTCCAACTCTCAGATCCATAAAATGACTACTGCAAAAACCATAGCTTTGACTAGATGGCCCTTTGTTAGTCTATTCAATTTCTATTAAAAAGTAGTTCAAATCTTGTGTGCATGTATCTGTATGTATCCCTAGGTTTCACAGGGCAGCTCTTAAAGTTTCTATGTATGAACAATAACATCCTGTGGCAGATGTAGTCATTTGTACAACTACTATGTCACATGGAATTTCTCTTCTCTCCCTCGTGACTTCTCTCCTTTAAAAGGAAACCTATGCAGACATCTCGTTATTGCTCATGGGCCTCTGATCAGAGATTTCCATATTGTTGGAAACTTAGACCAAAGTATAGAGGGGAAAAGTGACATTTAGGACAGTGAAACTGTTTTAAGATTTCTTCCAGCTAAACAGGTAGTTGCTAGCAACCCTGCAAGCAAACAAACCTACGCCAGGAGGAAAGCACCCCTCTGTGAGGGCCAGCCGTAACCTCGAGAAAAGCTGAGCCCCAGCAGGAAGGCTGGCATGTCCTCTTGGCCCAGCTCCGAGCTCACGGCGGGGAAGGAGGCAGAATCACTGCAAGACTGAAGAGAAGCAGGGGCCAGGAGTCCCTCTGCCCAGATGCCCCAGGAGAGCGTCCCCATTCTGTGTGTGCCTCTCGGGCACTCTGGACTCTCCTGTCCACAGAAGCAGGATTTGGGTAGGATGGCCCAGGATGGGCACTGCCAGGACATCCAAGTTACCTGGGAAGAGTTATTCTGAAGGAAATACAGGGAACTAGGAGGGACCAAGTTGTGGAAGAAACAACTGGCTCAGGAGATTGAAACAAGCCATTCTTCAATATTATTTATTCATTTTTTAAATGCAGAGGAGGAACCCAGGAGAGGAGACGTGAGTGGGCTTTGGCTGAGGCTTGAGTCTCACTTTGTATCCTTGCTCTATTTGCTTGGTGGACAGACTTCTTACTACTAATCAGTTTCTTTCTAAAACTCAAGAAGAGACAATGTGTTGCTTCTACTGTTTTTTCCCTCCAAAGTACAGTGTCACTTCCTACAGCATTTTCTAGTTAACTCTGGAGAGAACACAGTGGCAGCTTTAAACAGTTACAACCACTTGGTTCATGTATGTTAAGAAAACAGAATTTCAAATGACTATGAAACCTTTAACAAGTAGGTCCCCTGAACATAATAGATATTTTCCCCTGGTTCAAGTTTAGGGCTAAATGAGAAGGAATTGGAGAGGTTCCAGAGGATAGTAATGAAAATGATTAAAGGACCAATGATGAAAGGTTCAAGGAATTGGGATTACTTAGCCTGGAGAAGAGAAATTTGAGGGGTGATTTAATGGCAATCTTCAAGTACAGTATGTGGAGGGTTATTACAAGTATGGTAGCCAGCTGTTATCCAGCTGTATTGAAGGTTGAAAAAAGGAAACAGAACTAGAATTTCAGCAAGAGATTGAAGTTAGACCAGTGGTGTCAGTGGTTCTCAAACTGGCTCAATGGATTGTGGAACCTTTGTGGAAGATCATGAAATATTGATGTTTTAAACTTAAAGTATGTAGGATTTGCTAAATCTGATACCAGGCTATATAGTAGTATAACAGAAACTTTTAAGGGAGGGAGAATTATGGACTCAAAGTTGGGAAACTGTCGACTTGGGGAGATAAGTGGGAGTTTCAGGGATGCTTTGACTGGGGGAGACCAGTTTGAGAAGCAGTGGGTCTGACTGGGCGGCACGGGCAGACCTGAGGAGGTGCTGAGAGCTGACGGCAGAGCCCGTCAGGGTGTCCGTGGGCTCGGGAAGGAAGAGAATCACTCCCACCTGAATCCCGTGGCCCCGACCTTTACACCGACCCTGGGAGAGGCTGCGGCAGTGGTCCAGACCAGGCACACAAGGGCCTCTGAGGACTCAGGGCCTGCAGATGGGGCGGCCGTGGGCCTGGCCTCACGGAGGCTGCGCCAGCAGGCCTGTCACGAGTTCCAACCAGCTCTGGCCTGGCCTGTGGGTTCAGGTCACCATTACCAACTGTAGATTATCAGGAATTTCACTCTTTAAAAAAAAACTTTTAAAATGTTTTATTACAAAGCTTCTTTTAAAAAATGCTCAGCACGTTAACTCAAACTGGAATGACAAACGTTAGATTGACAGTTTGGGGCAAAGGCTGTGCCTTGCTATTTAAAAAAAAAAAATGGGTACATCAATGCTCATTTTAACAACTGGCATAAAATCCCACTAATTGGCTAATAAAAACAGATACAAATACAGAACATTTAAAGTAATAACAATTCAAGTGCTGGGCTTTTTTACAACAAGGGTTGAGAAGGAAAAAAATGAAAATTCACTGCAAACTGGTCTGCTGAAAGTATCTGGTAAAGTTTACCATTTAAAAAAAGAGATCATAAGAAAAATAAAGAGGACTGCCAACTGCTACCCACAGAGTGGATTGGCTGTTATGTTTATTTAGTTCTATCAGACACCTTACAAAGACAGAGAGGCCACTATTGTTACAGGTAATTCACGGAGAAGCCACTTAGCAGACGAGATCTCTCTCAGAAGGAGGAGGCTTCTTTTCATTTCGTTTTTATTTCAAACAGTTCAAGATCTTTGAATTTTACTTAAAAAGCTCATAGCTAGCAAAATATACAAGAAAAATAAAAGAAGTGTGAATTAAAAAAAATTCAAGTTTAAAAAAAGAAGCAAACAAGATAGATCCTTTTGCACTGTTAAATAAAAGCTTGAGAAGAAAAAGAAACATGAAGCCAGAAACAGAGGGAACTCATCCCCACATCCCTGCGGGGACGCTGACGGCGGTGCTGCAGCCGCCCCAGTGCTCAGGTGCCTGGGGCAGGCGAAAGCAGCCAGTTACTGTCCTTGCCAGAAGGTTGCAGATACGGATGCAGGGTGCTCTGGGAAGTGCACGGCGGAGACGGGAGGAAAGCGGCTCAGCTGGCCCAGGGCCTGCCAGCATTCTCATGTGCTTTTTAATTTTTCTTTTGAAAAAACCTTGTATGCTTTCTTGTGGAACTTGGCTCTTGCAGTAGATGAAAGGGGGTTGGCAGTGATTGTCTTTATGGATCAGCGTCTCTAGCAGTGACCTCAGGGTGAAGTTTGTGTTATTTCTCCTTTGGGGTCGACTGGGCAAGCCGTGGAGACAGTCTGGGTTTTCAACAAGCTTCCATCTCCAAGAGAGGTCCCGGGGTCGCTGCCTTGGCTTTGCACGTTGGGAATGAGCTTCGTTTTCCACCTCGAGAAGGAACAAATAAAATGCTGTTATAAGCATTTGCCACAAACCTTTACAGATTTTGAACCTCAGCTACATACAGCACATCACGTCTTAAGAGCTCTGCATTTAATTAATCCTCTTTGTTGATCTGGTGATAGCTAAGACAGATTGCCCTAAGGTAGCCCTAAATCCTTAGATTACATTAGAGAATAAGTGTACTTTACTGAAGTGTTTACCTTGGTTCCATATATATGTATATATATGTGTACAGAGTTATGATGTGAAATACACATAATACTTTGGATCATGGTTTTTAAAAATAAATCTGAAAAACATCAGAAGAGAATGGCCAAACATGAACTGTAATGGCAGACAATGGCCAGATCCCAGAAGGATCTATCATTCTGAAGTGTTTGGTCTTTTTAGTCCACTGTGGGGAGCCACTGTGGGACTCTGCATGCTTTCGTACGTGCTGAGTCGCTTCAGTGGCGTCCCACTCTCTGCAGCGCTGACAGGAGACTAAGCACACTCAAGTGAGGGAGGGCCCCACATCCCCACGACAAGCAGCTATGCGGCTGGGACGTCCTGTCTGCTCATGTTCAGTCTGAGGTGCGTAAGCTTCTCCAATATTCAGGCTTCAATTCTCAGTGGTTTTTTTTCCCTTTCTAACAACTGGGATCTCTAATATTACGTTTGGGATGTACAATCAACAAGTATTTAAAGATGCTGCCAATGACAAGAGCATTCAGAAAGGATAATCCCTAAATCCCCAAGGTTTTAACAATCTGAGACCTAGAGTGATTACAAATAAAACATTGCAACAGAATCAGAGACAAAGGGAAAGCAAAAGCACCCCCAAGTTCAGCTCCTCTGTGGAAAGCATCCGACGCCCCTGCTTTGCAACTGGGGCGACGGCCTCGTCCAGCCGCAGGGAAGTCACCTCCCCCACCTGGTCCCCCGGCAGCTCAGACGAATCTCAACTGTCTGTGCTGCAATGTCCTTTTATTAGCAAACATTTCCTTTAGGAAAAAATTAATTCTAAATAGTTGAGTGCATTCCTTTATGCTTTTTGAGTAGAAAGAAACCTTGGAGAAGTAAAAGGAAACTTTGAAATAATTTTAAATGAGAAACTAAACTCAGGATGGTGACTTCCAATCCAGACAGTGCCGTTCAGAGAAGAGCGGTCCGCAGCCCGCTCTCCTGGGAGCTGGGAGGAGCGGTGCCGTGGCTGCGGTGAGGATGGCACAGCTAGTGCCTTGGAGGGACGCGCAGAGTGCCCAGTGAGTCCCTGCGTTTGGGGCTTTTCCCAGCTACCTGTCAGCGTTATTGCGGCAACCAGCAGCGCTGTCCCTACCGTGACTCAGCATCACCACTGTGAAGAACTGTTTATCTGGGTGGCTGGTGAACACACGAGTGAAAGCACAACAGGAGGAAGCCAGCCACAGAGCGCTGCCTTCAACACCACGAGCTCTTCAGCGACGATTTCAATTCCTCTCCTACAAGTCTACCCTTCGCCCATTTAACAGGAAAACCATGCTGCAGCTCTGTGGTTTTTACAGGTTTAAGCAGATGCCTCACACAGGAGGACGCAACGCTGCAGAGGGCCTGGCTTTCCACGGGGACGGGGCAGAGCCGGGGCGAGGGTGAAGGCGCTGCCCAGACTCCCAGTCACAGGCGCTGGCGCCCCTGACGCGCGGGGCCAGGGCCAGGCTGCGCCTGCTGGTGAGGAGTGCACAGCAGCTGGAGCCCAGCCCTGCTCAGAACGCACTGGCCTCAGCAGCCACGAGCACCAGCCTCAGGCTGACCTCAAGTCGCGGGGTGACAGCCTGCAGGCTCTGTGGCGCCCTGGCTCTCTGGCACTTCCCGCTCATCGAGTGGAGCTCTTCCCACCTCACAGCACCCCCAGTGCCTTCTGCCCACTCCACTACCAGTCCTGGCTGGCCAGAATGACCATTTATCACAAGGTCGCATCCCTGGAAAGAATTTCGACATCTCCTAATAAAGTCAGTTCTTTCTGTAGTCTCACACATTCCCACCATTATTTGATTACCACAGTATCCTCTTACAGGATCCTCCTGGAAAGTTGGTTTCAGAGGTGCCGTGTACAACTGCCAATCAAAAAGTGATTCTTCCCCACCTTGGATGCTCTCCTAATAGTGTAACTAGTGTTTAAATAAAGTGGTAAAGAAACTATCAAATGGGCACCTTATTTGAACCTGATTGGTCCTTTAAAATATAAGGTTGTCAGGGGAGACCGATTTTACCCCCAAATGGGAAAAATGGGGGCCTTCCAGTGTTGCTATACAGATATAAAACAGGTCAAATCGAGATTCTTTTCAAGAAACCACAGGCATGAGGCTTGGGAGACTAGAGACTTCCACATCTAAGGCTTCTCTGGGGGGGCTGTGGCTAAGGCTGGGCTGGCCAGGCAAGCCCCAGTGCAGCCCAACCCACCAGCGGAGTCAGTGCAATCAAAGCTGCAATTACTGTGCCCGCTTCAAAGGGAGCTTGGAGTCCCATCTCACATGTCAGGCTTGGGCTCCCTCCGCAAGGAGTCACCACGTGGGCCATTTATTGAGTGACTCTGAAGAAGGCACAAGAAAACACCCTCCCCCCACCATCCAGCTGAAATCCAGGACTCTCTCCTGGACTGAACTCCAATCTTGACAATATCCTGCTAACCAAATGGAACCAGGAGCCCAGACAGACAGATTTGCTTATTCAGAGCCCAAGTGCTAAAGGAAAATCTTGATTTCAAGACGGACTTGCGTCAGGAGATGGCAAGCAGTGACTGAGGGCTTTTAGGCCTTGGCTTAAAAGATGTGAAGAAAGGGAAAGGAGAAGTGTCTTCTTAAGTGCAAGCATCAGCCTCTAATGGAAGCCAATTGCTTTGCTAGCCCTTGTCCTTGGGGTTCTGTGGCCCAGTCCCTCCCCAGTCTGTCCTCCAGCAGAAGGGGCAAGGAACCAAGCCCATCAGCGGGGCCACGGTGGAGGGGAGGAGGGCTGGCCCGTGACGAGGACCCACCCGTCGGAGGGAGCCACGCGGGCACAGCACGCCGGGAGACGCCTTGTCATGTGACAGCGCCGCCGCGTACAGAAACGGTGAGGCCAACGCAAAGGTGGTTGGCATGAGAGATCCTTCCCCTCCCAAACGTCCTAGCAAGGAGCAGCAACTTTAAGGTGTTTCTAGTTATGACGTGAAGTTTGAGGACAGAGCATCAGAGATGAGCCTGTGAAAGGTGAACAGAAGCAGAGACTTTGTAAAGAGTGCCCGCCTCTTCGCAGCACACCACAAACCTCCTGCGCATGGCCAAGTTTTCCCGCCTCAGCTCCGGGCAAAGCGACAAGCCTGCTATTTCAGGGCGGACGCCTTGTGCTGTACAAAGTCGTGTGTGTGTGCAGAGAGCGGACTTCTAGAGCAGAAAGCGAGAATGACAGAGCTGCCCTGTCCTTCTAGAGGGAACGGAGGCATTTGCTCATCAGTGATTGGTCTGAGGGTCCCCTAGAGATTTGCTGGGGCTCCTGGTTCCTCGTAGGTCACAGGAGCTGGGGGGGAGGAAGGGACAGCATGGGCTGAGCACTGCGGCCCCGGGCACTGGGACAGACACGGCGTGATGCAGTCACGACAGCTCCGCGGACTTTGGCCCATTTGCAGAGAAGGACTGGGCTGTGTGAGTGAAAGGCCTTGGCTAAGGTCATTATAGGTGGCAGAATTAGCTTTTGAGCCTTAAACCCAATTTCTTTCCACCGTACCGCAGAGCTAAATTATCACTCCTTTTCTTCTCGACTGCCTGCTTGCCATAGCCATAGCTATAGTTAGCAGCACAGTTAGGACAGAGGAGGTGGCAGTGGGCTACATCTAGACCACTGCCCACCCCAAGGTGATGTGCTCTCAAAGCAGGATGAGAGAACAAAGAGCACGAGAAATTAACTGGGAGATTTAAATCTTGAAGATTTAAAGTATAATCTACAAAAGGCAGATTCAGGCCTTTGAAAGGATTACCCAGCATTTGGGTGAAAGAAAACATGATGTGTGGCTGGGAAGGTTGGTGCTCTCTATTCTTTCTACAGTGGAGTTAGTCCTTAAGTCCCAGCATCAAGCTAGCCAGCCCCCAGCCCCCAGCTATAAGCTCTGATGCAAGATGATTCCCAAAGTGTGGAGGAAAAAGGGAGAGGTCAGGGCTATGAGGGGTCACTGGCCTTGGGCTTGGACCCAGGTTATATAGACCAAGGCAAGGTCACTGCATCTGTGTGGCTTCTTCCCTTGTGGTTATTCAGAATGAATCATTATCCGTGAAAGCAGACTTTGGCAATGTTAAGATGACTCTGAGGCAGGCCTGTAACTGTTAATAAACTGCTCTAGGGGACTTTCTTATTTCCATCTGCAGCTACTGGCTTCTCTTCTCATCAGCCCTTTGCCTCTCCCTTGTGAGGATGTACATCACACTGGTTGGCTGAGCTCACAGATCCCACTCTAGACCCTTACCTCCACTGGAAACAGTACAGAAATATTCTTGATGAAAGTTTTGAATAAGAGAGCCTCAAAATCCATTTTACTTCCGTATATCAAAGTGCTTCAGGAGGGCAATATCTATGGAGACTCACATACTCATCTCTAAATTCTTTACCCAGTTCACCTTTTCTTTCTACAAGTTCTCCTACACTGAAGATGCTAACTCCGCCTTCTAAAAGGGAGGCAACAGAACTAGTGCACGCTTTTTTTTCTTTCCACTGTCATTTCTGTATGTGCAGGAGTCTGTGAATCTTAACTATACGGGGCCCAGGGAGGTGACAATGCATTATAGGTTCTGAGCATGAGCTCTGAGAACAGTCAGCCCTGGGCTGGGTGAACCCCAGCCTTTATCACATCACCTGAATTATCCTCAGCAAGTTACCTGAATGTAGAAACCTCAATCTCATCTGTAAAAGAGAAATATCAATAGTGCGTCATTACGTCTCATGATGTACACTGAGGGGATGAAGGAAGATAATTACCCATGACAGATGACATGCCTAGCATC